TTGACCAAACACCCTTAAAACATTATTACATCAATAATTTAAAGAACATTGAGCAATATTTAAATTTGAAAGCGCGAAATAGGCCCTGTTTTTATTACAATTTATCTAACAAACTCTGCCTAAACCTAACCTAGCCTAGGCACAACATAGCCTATTAACAACGAATGGTTAAATTAAATAGAAACATTACAATGTGGAATGTACACTAGTAATTATTATTTAGTGTGTAATCAAGGAAAGTATTCGGTAATTATTTACCCTATTTACACTGGGATTTGATGTAATTTGTATATGTCTACTTACAGTATTTTTAACGCTGAATCCAAAAATGCAATCAGTTTTGGGCGGAGAGATTCCTAAGTGGCATACTAGTCCATAAGTGTGATATCCTAAGTGGTACAGTTATATAATTAATATTAAGCTTCAGTTTTGTTGATTAGTGAGTTTAGTGTTGTTTAGTGAGTCGGTGGCTCAGTCGGTACCGTCGCGGACTTCGGGCCCAAGGCAGTAAACGATCCATGCACGGGCGCTTAGTCTATGTGGACGGGCAAATGCAAGGTTAAAAGAGGCCGCCAACCTCTTTTTTTAAAAGAAAGAAGAAAGAAAGAAAAGATTTATTAACATATTTGTGGTATGGACGAGTCCAAGTTCTAGCCGCGACTAACACTAAAAGGGGTGGAAGGTTTGTGGAGTGGAAACAGCTGACAGTTGTTTACATTCGATACTAAACAGACAAAACCACACATGACATGTGAAAATCGGAATAACATTTTAAAATGATTCAATTTCTAAAAGCAGACGGACTTCTAAGACGTTCCGAAAATATAATTACACAAAAACAATAAATTAGGCCTACATGAACTATTAATAAAATCAACATGTATCATTAATCAATAAATGTAATTTTATTCTCGTAAAACGCGAGGATTTTTAGCCTATACAATAACACGACCGCATCACCAATGCCAAATTGATACTGTCAACTGTCACTGCCATTGAATTGCTGTAATGTAGTTTGCTAACCAACCAATGGATTATTACGCTACAATGCACCCAGAAAATAGATCCAGATTAATAACATATGCAATAGCAACTTATTAATTATCAAGTAAGTTTCATTATTGTTGCCGATTTAGAAATTAGTAATGGCTGATATTTGCAATGCGTGTGACCATTTTTATGAAACGGTTGTGTTCGATGATAATGAAATTAAAAGTTTTTTAATTAAGCACGGGGTTGTAAATAACGAAACAAATTGTCCGAGGTGTCATTCAAACATTAAATTGAACGATAAGTGGTTTTTCAGATGCTGGAACAGAGTTTCAATTAACAAGAAGAAAGCCAAAAGGTGTGAGTGGGTACGATCTTGCAGAGTAGACACTTTTTTCGGCAAATCCAGACTACAAATTCGTACGCTTTGGCGATTAGTCAATCATTATCTTTTTTTGACCCACCCCGGCAAAGATTCCTGGAAACAAATCTCAATCTGTCAAGTAAAACTGTTGTCGATTGGTATTCGTTTATTAGAGAAGTGTACATTGACGATTGTGTAACAAATTCTGAAAGACTAGGCAGGCCAGGTGAGATTGTTGAAATAGATGAGGCGAAATTTGGTAAACGTAAATACAATCGAGGGAGGCGTGTGAAGGGAAACTGGGTGTTGGGGGGAGTGCAGAGAGGCTCGACCAAAACATTTTTAATCCCCATTCCTGACCGCTCAAGGCGCACGCTAATTCGACTAATCCGCCGCTGGGTTTTGCCCGGCAGTACGATTATTACCGACTGTTGGAAGTCGTACAGCAGATTGCGGGAGTACGGCTTCCAACATTTAACTGTGAACCACAGTACTGACATTATTGATCCCGTCACGGGTGCACATACAAACCGAATTGAGCGGTGTTGGAGAGACGTTAGAGACCACATCCCCAAATACGGGGTGAGGTCCAAACATTTCATCGGGTACCTGGCGGAGTTCCAATTCAAGAAAAGGTACCCTAACAACAAATGAGTCCAAGCATTTTATAAGGCCGCAGCTAAGCTGTATAGGCCAATATATTAAGCAAGGTAGGTTAAGTTAAAATATTTTCTGCATATATTACTGTAGTAGGAAAGTTATAAGTTATGTATTATATTTTATACTAAGGTAACCTAACCTAATCTAACCTAACCTAACCTAACCCAACCCAACCTTAATATTGATATTTAAATCGCATTTTATGTAAGAAAAGGCATGTGAGGAAGATAGGTCGGACTTTATGCGGATTTGTGACTGTATTAAGTCCTTTGAAGTGAGGTTAGATTAGGTAAGTTAAAGGTTAGGTTATAATGAACCTAACCTTTACCTTCCTAATCTAACCTCACTTCAAAACACTTAATACAGTCACGAATCCGCATAAAACCCGACCTACCTTCCTCACATGCCTAAATAAGAACTGATGAACTGATCATTTGGTTTCAAAACGAATTGATTTGATTTCATTCTGCATTAGATCAAGTATAAACAGTTGTTTGCTCTTCTCACTCAGTCCTCACTCCTCGCTCTTCACTCAGTACGGACAATGGTACGGACCCGTCCAGACCACGCCATATTACAGTACCATTACCTTCAGTACCGCTCAATTATCCTTGTTAGATTCGTAATCCTAACCTTCGTTTTACGGCCGCTACTGCCACTTAGGAATCTCTCTGACCAAAACTGATTGTATTTTTGGATTCAGCGTTAAAAATACTGTAAGTAGACATATAAAAATTACATCATATCCCAGTGTAAATACGGTAAATATTTGCCAAGTATTCTTCCCCCTGTAATGCTTGGGAAAGATAGGCTACCAAGTCAGTGGGAAAACTTTCAAAAAAATATTTTAGTACTATCGGTTTGCCTTTTAACTTAAACGAGGTGTTAGCCCGTCCTACGTACGGGAATTCAGTAGTCAGATAAAACCGTGTACAATTCAGATCAGCTAGTTTACACAAATAAAGGCAAAGTTTCTTGCAGTTTTAATGTGAAAAATCATCTTGTAAACAATTGTTGTGTGACCAAATCTGTTTTTATTCCATCATAGGCCTATACGATATGCATTTTAAATCCGATAATTTTACAATAAAACAGCAATTCTGCAATTTTTACGATGTAAAAAGCTTTGAAGTGAGATTTGCAGCCAATTCCCACATACGCACACTGATTATAAGGCCGGCCGCACACCTGATACAGCACGGCACGGCAAGGCGACTTGAGCACCCACATTATCAATCCCATGGTTTCAGTCAAGTGAGATACTGTGTGTTATGTGGTTGTTTGTACATTTTGTGACACTTTGTACTACACATTTTGTGAGAATGGATGCAGAAGGCGAAGAAGAGGCTGCTGCCATCGCTACTGTATGGTACCTGTTGTGTTTATATAGTCAATTATGGTACCTAATGAATATAATGGATGATCTCCCTAACAGAGAATCGTGGGTGCATCCCATCAACCAAAAAAGGAACTTGAAACCATTCATTGCAGAACTAAGAGCAGATCCGGAAAAAATCGTAATTACTAATCGTTGAAAGTGCACACTGATTTTGACAGGGGCTGTCACTGCGTTGAACGTGGTGTCGATCCTCGGGCATGCGCACATCGTTTTGCCTCAAGCCTTTTGCCCGAAAGACGAAAATTGAAAAGGCAGAACAAAGCGCCGTACGGCGCTGTTTTGCATTGCCTTGCCGTGCCCGATGATGTGTGCGGCACCCCCATTTGAAATAATAGAAATCTAGTCGCATAAGGCGCCCTAAGGCAAAACGTCGCGCCGTGCCGTGCCGTGCCGCATCAGGTGTGCGCCCTGCCTAAGTAGCCTACGGTAGATCGAATAATAGTCAATTGAGAAGTGTATAGACCTAGTCAACGATACCACCTTCCATAGCATACCTGCCTCTTCCATAATTATTATCACAATACAACTACTATACACAATTTCCAGTAGGCCTGAATAGAAACGACCTCAAATAAAACGATAATATCCAATAAAATTCACAGTACACATAATTTAGCTTTGGTGTCCTAACATCAAAACTAATCGTCACACCTATCCTTAATATCAATTTCACTGCATTAATTGCTAAATAAATAAATGTAAACAAAAAAATTTAAAAACAATAACAGTTTGTTTTGAAACAGCTGTTTAATTCAAATAACATTCATTTGAAGAAAAAGAACTGGTCACATGTAGCAGGAATATAAAAAGTAAACACGCTAGTATAGCTAATGACGTAATTGTCAATGTTTATTATCCATACCGTTATCAGTTCTATCCTTGATAATTACCCACCCTCATTGAATAAATACATCGTACATTTCCCATATTAGTTAATTTAAACTACAATATATTCATAGTTGAAATAAAAGTGATATTTTCACGTTTGGGGGCGCTGATATAGGCGCCCCTAAACGTAACCACAACTGAACACGATTTCATAAAAGGATGGTTTGTCTAATTGCAGTATCCTAGGTCAATGTTGACGTTGTGTTCAATCTCATAGTATAAATAAGTCAACCCTAAGTATGTCTTTACATTTTTATCCAAATGCTGAATTTGTGACACAAAAGCTGAATGTTTACAGCTGTTATGTTAAGCAAATTATTTTATGCCAAAAGCTAGTTTAGAATCTTAGCGTCGGCTGCTAGACTTTTTAAAAATTAAAACTTAATTTCCAAAAAACTGGGACCCTAAACTAAAATTTTGGCTTTGACATTCCCTAGTTCTCAAAATTATCTTTCTTTCAACACAAAAATCATGAAAATCCGTCGAGTGGTTGATCCAGAATCGTGAAATAAAAAAACACTGTTTCGTTTTAATATTATAGATTTCATTCAAATCATGTTACAATGCTCTGATAAATATATTAAATATTACAAGCGAATTTTACATCGGGGAAAACATGTACAAAAACATCCTCAAACATTTAATAACTGTAGATATAGGCTACTTTGAGAAAATCTACTTGATTAAATATTTTTCCAGGAAAGCTACCGATGTCTCATTAGCCAACCGGAGTTGTTGGTGGAACAGTTGCTTATGTCTACCAGGATATCCACTCTAGAGGCAATCCTACTCTCTCTCCACGAGGAGATATCATCTCTGCCACCAGGGTCTCCACTGTCCCGCCCCTGTCTAGACGCTCTGCTGCGTCGCTACGCTGCAAAGGCAGTGCACGTGGGTGTCCGCACCAAAATACTGCCCTCCAGGAGACAATGTACGCCAGAGATGACTGCTAAATTTACTCCACCGGACATTCCTCCGTCAAAAGAAGAATGGGTAGGAAATGATGAGGTAAGATTCGGAATAAGATTGAGAGAACCTAGCTTTATTTGATTTGAATTTTTAAAAACCCTTTAAACATAAAATAATACTATACTTGCAAAGTATTACAGGAGTTATTTCAAAGATGTCGTGTCGGATCGGACCAGTGGGTTTCCTGCTTTAGAGTTAGGGGTCTGCGGTGCACCGACTAATAATAAATTACTTATCATTTACTATCTAGTCAAGTAGTTGGTTCTGAGCACATAAAAGTCTTATCAGATGTTTGTTTACGATCTTCATAATTTATTACTATAGGGTGATGATGCAATAAAAAACCCATTAGCAGTCCCAAATCCATTAACATTTTATTATGACTGTTCGGACCAATGCCCAACATACACTTAAGTGGACTGTATTATCTGACTTGCTTTGGTGACTTATTTGAGGCTAGACATGAAGAACAATACATACATTTGAAACAATTGGTTTATTAAGGCTCTCACTCTTCACAGTTAACATGGATTGTAGTTTACTTTTACCTAGAAATTAAGTGTACCTTTTATCTTACAGTCATATTTAACTTTATTTAAATTTATTAGTTTAAATCTGGCCAGATGCATTAATTTCCCCAATACTTAAAAGTGGTTAAATGGACTTGGAGGAAGGAAGGGAAGTGGCCACATAATGTCTGTTGAAGTTACTGATGCTAATGTTCACTTATGATGTTGGAGTGATCTTACCCACTTTCAAAGATCTTTACATCTTTATAGGAAGTTATTAAAGAAAATAATTACTTGAAGCACTACATATTTACATTTACTTTAAACCAATACTTAGAAACTTTAACACTGCACCAAACAAAACCCTAGACATGTTGCTTGTCTGAAAACTTTTTCAGAAGAGAGAAAGTAGATAAGATCACCCACTCCACCAAGTTCAGGCTTTGCCCACCAGAGTTCAGCACCAATCAAACACAAACACTGCATTACTTAGTTCACTCACTTTCCACCAGATTAAGGAGATTGGAGGGAAATAAGGATGGCCCAAACATCCCCCCACCCAAAATGAATATTTTAAAACAAACACATAAAAACATTAAAGCTTAATCTTGAAAAGGCAATAGACATAGTTTATTCAAAGGACGAGTGAAGGTTCCACTAGCAGTCTTTATCTGCGCCACCCGAACGGTTCCATCTATGCCAGGATACACTTCGAGGACTCGGCCAATAGACCATGATGTTGGAGGAAGGTTCTTGGCTGGAAGAATTATCATCTTCCCTGGAGTGAGGTTTGGAATGGTAGTATCCCATTTCGGGCGATGCATGAGGGTGTGAATGTATTCTCGAGACCATCTCTGCCAAAAATCCTGAACACTTCGGGAGATAAGCTGCCATCTCGATCGAAAGTCTATGGGTTGATTTGACAGATCCTCTTCAGGGCGACTTAAGAGTAGAGGAGCACCCACAAGAAAATGTCCTGGAGTCAAATAATCAAACCCATCGGAAGGGCTGGATGACACTGGACACAAAGGACGGGAATTCATGATAGCTTCTATTTTCGCTAATAGAGTTGAATATTCTTCAAATGTTAAGGGACGATCTCCGATTACTCGTTTGAGGTGATGTTTCATTGATTTTACTGCGGCTTCCCAGGAACCACCAAAATTTGGAGCTGATGGAGGGTTGAACTGCCAATTGATGTGACGCTCTTCACAGTAGGACTTGATTTGGTCATTACCCTGTAGTAATACATCTCTAAGTTCTTTCAGTTCTCTGGCTGCACCCACAAAGTTTGTACCTAAATCACTATACATAGTAGCTAGCACCCCTCTCCTTGAAATAAATCTGTCCAAGGATGACAAAAAGGCTGCAGTAGAGAGATCACTGACTATATCTATATAAACAGCTCGAGTACATAGACAAACAAACATAACTACCCAACATTTATAGGTTTTAGCATTTCTCCTTCTACTCTCTTTACACACAAAAGGACCCGCTAAATCTACACCAGTGTTGACAAAAGCTCTTGTCATCTTAAATCTACAGCTAGGAACATCTGACATGAGTGGTTCTAAAGGTTTAGCTTTAAACCTATAACAATTCATACACTTAAATACAATACTTCTTAAAAGATAACGTATTCCAGGAATCCAAAACTTTCTTTGAATAAGCGATTGCATTAATTGTGCTCCTCCATGTAAGGTCAACTTATGATAGTATAAGCAAATCAACTCCGCTAATCTACTCTTTCTGTGAATCAAATAAGGATGTTTCCTGGCACTTGAGACAGGAGCTTGAGCTAGGCGACCCCCCACCATTAGCAAACCCTCTTTACATTCAAAAGGAGTCAAATGTTGTACATATCCTTTAATAGGTTTATTACTCTTAATACTGTTAATTTCTGAGAAGTAGTATTTGCCTTGTGTGAATCTAATAAGTACCTTTAAAGAATTGCTTAGTTCTAAATGAGTGAGCTCTCCAAACCTTCTTTTATTTACACTTGCTTTAACATTAGACACAAATCGCATAACATAACCTAAAACATGTTGGACCTTTGTCAGCGAATAACATGATTGCAATAATGATTCTATAATACAATCATTATTTTTATCGGGGATCTCCTGAGTGACGAAACTACTATATTCCCTTTTTGTTTCTGGAATGGGATTAACACATTGATAATCACTACGAGGCCACTGACTAATGTCGAACTTTAGGAAGTTTGGTCCATGCCACCAAAGGTTATGATCAACTAACTGGGTAGGTAGTAACCCTCTTGAAGCAGCATCAGCTGGATTGGTTTTTCCCGGAACATGTTTCCACATAGAAGGAGGTAAAACTTCTAGAATTTCAACAACTCTGTTACATACATAGGTTTTAAGTTGATGGGGTGGTGTATGTAACCATGACAGAACCGTACTGCTATCAGTATAACATATGGTATCATAAGTGGGCAAATTGGATAGGAAGTCATTCAATGACCTTATTAGCCTGGACAGAAGCAAAGCACCATTTAGTTCCAACCGAGGAATTGTCACTGGTTTGAGTGGAACAACCTTACTTTTAGATTTGAGTAGGTTAACATTTACTTGATTGTCAGAAGACTTTACCCTAAGGTAAACACATGCTCCGTAACCCTTTTCACTTGCATCACAGAAGCCTATCACCGAGATTTGGTCTGGGTCCCTGAAACTTATATACCTGGGTATTCGGATCTTCTCTATTTCCTCCAGCTGAGAAAAAAATTCCAGCCATAACTGAGCCAAGGGAGCAGGGAGATTTTCGTCCCAATCAATGCCAGCAAGCCAAAGCCTTTGAATGAAATACTTTATCCAAAACGTAACAGGAGTGAGATAACCATTTATGTCATAAATGCGCGCGACTTGTGACAAAACACCTCTTTTTGTAGTAACTGGATTTTCATTGGACAACTTGTAACAAAATACATCGGATGTAGGGTCCCATAGAAAACCTAAAAGTTTAATGCAATGGGATGATTCAAAGGATACAAAAACATTTTGTTCTTCATCAGGAATGTGTGATAACACATTTGGACTGTTACTAGCATACTTTCTGAGTGAAAATCCTCCTTTACTTAGCAAATTAGTTACTTCATGGTACAACTGAACAGCTTCCTGTTCTGTATTAACTGCACATACCATGTCATCAATATACATGTTAGACGTGAGGGCCTTTGAGGCAACTGGGTAACTGTCCCCTTCATCCGCAATTAACTGTTTTATTGTTCGTTGAGCTAGAAAAGGACTACAGGTTAATCCAAAAGGCAGAGTTGTAAGTTCCCATTCTGTAATAGGTTGACTAGAATCATTTCGCCACAATAAATGTGTGTACTTAGTGTCATTAGGATTAAGACCTATACATCTGTACATCTGTTTGATATCACCTATTAGAGCTATGGGGTTCATTCGAAAATATAACAAGATCTGAGATATATCAGATTGTAATTTAGGACCTGATAATAGAAAATCATTTAATGATTTGCCCGTATTACTTTTTTCACTAGCATTGAAGACCACTCGCACTTGTGTAGTTGTACTTTCCTTGACAACAGCATGATGAGTTAATAGATAATCTACTCTTGCAGTGGCAGGCCGCATATGTCCTTGTGTTACATAGTCTTCTAAATTAGCGTTGTACTGGTTTTGGAAATCAGGAAATTTTGCCATTCTTCTTTCTAAGCTAAGAAGGCGTTTATGAGCTACCTGTCTTGTGGATCCTAAATCATCTGGAGGTACAGCTCCCTTGAATGGAAGAGAAACTTGATATCTCCCATTACTATCACGAGTGGTGGTTTCTCTGAAAACCTTTTCACAGAAAACATCATTATCATCTGTGGGAACTACATGAGTGGGTTCTTCAGACTCCCAAAATCTTCTTAACATATCATCAAGGGATGGTGTTTGGGTAAACATGGCTTGAGCGACAGAAGAGTTTTGAACAATGGGAATTTTACCAAAAATTATAAATCCAAAAATTGTATCTAAAGCTGCTGGAGAACCTTTGATATGCACCAAACTCTCGGAGAGTATGTCGGAGTAATGTTGAACACCTAAGAGGACATCAATCGATCCAGGTTTATCGAATTCGGGATCAGCTAGTTGTATATTACCAAACCTGTTGTGTATACTTGGGTCGAGCTTGGTTTTTGGCATGTTAGAGGATATAGTTTGCAAAACTATTGCTTCTACTGACAGAATGGGGTCTTCCCTATGAAGCGGAACAATGGAGCAAGATACACAACCCCGATTATTAGAGAATGAAGATGATCCAACACCTACCACATCAACTGAGTACCTTTTGCGGGGTAATCGTAAAGTTTGTGCTAGGGACTCTGTAATAAATGATGACTCACTGGCAGGATCAACAACCATACGACATTTCACCCAGTCACCTGTAGAGGACATAACTCGACCTTGGACTGTACCTAACAACCCAGTTGTACTTTGTCTGTGTGCTTGTGATTTCACATGACAATTTAATGCATTAGTGGATGGCTCGTTACTTCCAGAA